AAAAGAACAATAAGAAAAGGAAAAAACGTAAGTTAAAAAGAATTCTCTTCCTTCTCTTCTCTCTCTCTCTCTCTCTCTCTCTCCCTCCCTTTCTTTTTTCTCCCTCTTTATGTATATTAGATGAGAGTTTATATTCGGACATATTTATGTTGTATTAAATTTATTTTACATTAAAGTGAAATGGGAATTTTGCTCCTTTTACTAATGTTGAAATTTAATAGCATGCAGCGTACGCTGCAAACAATACCAAAATTTGAAGTTATTGACGGAAAAAAAAAAGTAATAGTTTTGGGATGTGTAATTTCTTTGATATTATATCACTCATTGATCATTATCAGTTAATATATTGATTTTACTTGATATATATTAACGTAAAATCATTTATGTCTTAAATGAAATTATTTCACGCTTAACATGAAGTCATTTGTATTTAACGTAAAGATCATTCACATATAATGCGTGAAATCATTTACGTCTAAACCGGAAATTATTTGTATGCCTAATGTGAAGTCATTGACATCAAACGTGATTTGACGTAATCTATTAATTTCCTCATAACATATTATATTTGACAAGTTTTTTTACTTTTTATTTTTTATTTTTTTGAAACATTTTAAATTCTCACAGCAAAACGATATTTGTATTAATGCTATTTAATTGTGATACAAAAGTTTAAAACTTGTAAAATTTAAAAAATTGTTAAGATTTTATATTTCACGTGGGATTTCATATTTTCACGTACGTTACTCCTAACGTAACGTTTGTTATTGATTGTTTATTTTTGTTATTAATGATAATATACATTACGATTGAGATGTTTTGTTTTTTGTTTGTTTTTATTCTTTTTTTTTTTTTTTGGTATACAATTTGAAAAATTAATTTTAATACATCATTTTTGGCTAATTTATTTGTTAATAATTATTGCTAAATTAATTTATTTCAATTATTTCGTTGTTTTTAAATATTTTAAAGTTTTATTTTGAAAGAATAAAGAATAAAATTGTTTTGTTAATCATCGATGGATTTATTTCAGCAAACTGATAATATCATATCAGAATAATTATCAAATAATCATCGTTTTGATCATTCGTTGATTGGATCATTGGCTAATGCATAAAATAGTCAATGATTATTGTAATACAAATTAATTTGTTGTAATCATTGGTGGATATTTGATTTCCTGGTTGATCGCTGATCTTTGCTTCGGTAGACAGGACAGGATTTATTCATTAGTTAAATTTAAAATATGAAATTTTTTAATTTTACTGCCATTTTAATTAATTAATGAAAGGTAATCCATAAGAAATGATATTTATTCCGGAAGATGATAAATGACTGAATGGATGAATACAACCAATGCAGTTAAATTCATTAGTAATTAACCGGATTTCCCTAACCGGTATAA